CCTGGGGACACCTTGAAGAACAAATGGGGCAGAAACCCCCCCCTGTCCTGATGCTCAGAGCCTGACTTACTGACGTTGGGGTGGCCCGAGACTTTCCGGAGAATGTCGATCTCTTTGGCAGTGGCTTTTTGCAGGTTCTGCACCCCCCTCGGGGGGGAGGTAGGCCGTGATGTCAATAATCTTCACAGCATACTCTTGCCGGGTGCTTTTGTGAATGCACCGACGGACGACGCTGCTCACCCCCCTGCCAGGGACAACACAGACAAGATGGGGGTTTCCATTCCTCCCCACCCAGCCCGACTTCGCGGCCCTGCCATCGGCACCTGGGCTGGTATTTTCACCTATAAGCGGGTTTTGCTCTGTCTTGGTTGGACAGAGGATTTTGAGCAGATGGAAGGTGCTTCTTCATGCTATTTTTAACCCCATGCTGCTATGGGTCCCGTTCATATCGGGTTCCCAGGGGATGCTGTTCCTATCGGGTACTGGAGTAGGTGAAACCAGTTTGCCAAAAACAAGCTTTACCTGCCCAAAACCTCCTTCGGCTCATATTTTTCATAGAACTCCTTGGATGAGTTCCAGTCTGGTAGGTCTTCTTCCTTGGTCATCTCTGCCTTCTGCCTGGTGGCACTCTGGGCTCGTCTGCCAGCGGAAAGGGGCTGCAAAGAAAAGAGAGCAAGGATGGGTGCTCGCTCCACCCTGGGCAGGAGCAGGGACCTGCCCCATCCTCAATTCCCCAGTCCCCGCCGGAGGGGAAAACATCGAGCTGGAGGAGAAGGGAGGAGGAGGATCATCTTGGACCACAGGCCACAGGGGCTATTTCACTGGTTGGAAAAGCAAAGCTTTGCCCTCGGGACCCTGTGGAGAACCCGTTGAGGACAACAGGAGAAATCCCACTGGGTCCCCCGCAGCCTGGCTGTCCCCAGAGGCAGAAGCAGCCTGGCTGGGGCTTCAGGGAGCCCTGCAGGACCCCAAAACCTCGTCCCTTCCTGCACAGCACCCGCACCCGGCTGGCAGGGCATCGTCCTCCAGCTCCTACCACATGCTATGGGCTACGCCAGACTTCTCCTGGTTCCTCCCGCCTTGGAAAGTAATTTAACTGATTTTTCTGAGTCTCCCGCCGAGGCGGAGCACGAAGAGCACGGGGAGAGCGTGGCGGGGGACGCAGGGGCTGAGCTGCACCTGAAGCTGGCGCGGGCGTGCGGCAGCAAGGCAGCACTGGCACAGCAGGTCCAAAGGTCCCCAGCAGCCTCTGCAAACGTCACCCCACACCGGCACCACCCAGAGACCCCTGCGAAGCTCTGAAATCTGCCTTGCAGATCTGAAATCTGAAAAATCTGAAATGGGGGGGGGGGTTCTTCTTTTTTTTTTCCTGTTTATTTTTAAGACGACAAAGTTGTCCGGAACGGTTTGGCTGAGAACAAGGAGGAAAAAATAGTGTTTAAAGTGAAGGGAAAAGGACTAAGGAGGGAAACGGGTGGCGAGGGTCGGTGGAGCAGCGCGGGGGGCTCAGCGGGTCAGGGGGAGGGGGG